ACCGCCAGTGTCTTGAGGTCCAAAGATTGCACCATGGCTTTGAGGGCGGAACTGTTGCCCTCAACAAGTTGGTGGAGAGCATCGCAGCGCGAATGGAGGTTCAGTTCCTCTTGGGGAGATGGATGGATCCATGATTGATCACCAAGTGGATGATGGAGATCACATGAGATCGGCACACATACATACACAACCATGTACAACCCACACATGTACAATGTATATACTGCATGTACATGTACATACATATTATTATATACGAGCAATATGGTTAAGCAAAAATGAGTAAAGGGATGTAAAAGTTTGATCGCAAAATGGTTCATGTCTAGCGTCAATCTGACTAGAAGTTGCACATGGAACAGTCAGCAAAGACATGAATCCTGACTTGAACTAGAATTAATCCAAAATGAACTGACAAAGTTTAACTTGGCCAAAATTTGCATTAACATTTGGCCAACTTATAGATCTGTTGAAATTTCATCCTTTGTTTGTTGCATACGTTGTATGTATACGCATGTTTTGGCTCAAGCCACTGCATGGATGAACACAGTGACTTTGCCATAGATATAATTTGTAACGGAGTTCTGATCACCGCAGGAAGTTTGGAAGTCAAACGCCTGACTTGTGGAAAGATTTAGTAGGGTCAGTCCGATGAGTCAGCAGACAGTCAGCAGGCCGAAGATCAGAAGAGAAGAAGATCAGAGAGGAGAAGATTCCAGCGCGCGAAATGTCAGGGAAATCACGAAACACTGTGTTTTCCAAGCTTTTATGGTTCCAGAGGGTCGATTGCTAGGCTCGGTACAGCGGCGGTGCGGAGAGATTTGGCGACACGATGGGCCAAAATTTGCGCCCGGCTGTGGTAAGAGAGCGGCTGGGAAGTGAAAATCGCTAACAGATGGACGACAAGTCAGTCAGTCAGACAACTAGCCAGTCAGGTTCCCACCCCTATTCGCCCTGTCGTTGGATCGCTTTGCCATTGCTAGCAAACCATCCTCCTGTCGGTTTCCTATTTTGCACAACTTCCGCCACTGCTTTGCGCGGTAGAACTGGTAAAAATTGAACAAACTATTGATTATTCTGACGGCTTATGTCAGTGTCTAATCATAAATCATCTCGTTCTTGTTGATGGCTTGGAAGGCGGCTGAGTGTACCCTGGAGTCCTTGAGTGCCAACTTGATGGCTTCCGAGGCGGTTACGAACCCCCTGTTGGATTCTTTTGAAGCTTCACACGCTCAAACACCACGGCACCGTTTGCACAAACACTGCCGTTGTCAGAATGTTCACCATTCGTTTCATGCATCGTTGACAACCATCGTCGATGTCAACGTTGGGCCTTGAAGGCACACATGCTGCGGGATTCCATCAAGGCTGTGTTTTTCGGAGTAGTGGATCTTGCCCCGCCCTGGTGCCGTAGTTTCGAACCTTAGAATTGAAATCTTAGAACAGTCGACCCAACCATCAATTAACGGGAGCACGAGTCATTAGAATTGCACATTGACTTCACTTACATGATTAATTAGTTTATTATACAGATTAGTTAAAATCAAGATAGTTAAGTCATCATTGTTGTTGGGTAATAGTGCGCATATTTTCTTATTGCAGTTCCAAAAATCTGCATAGAGCTTTGGAACTGGAATCTTTCATCTGTTTGTGTGTGTGGCATTTTGTGGAACTGAAATCTTCCATTCTGCATGCCGATTGGAGCTAGAATCTTGCAGTTCGCCCTCTATGTGCCAAATGTTGGGGTTGGAATCTGTCATGTAGCATCCTGCTTGCAAAATTTCGGACCTGAAATCTTCCGTTCTGGATGGTAGGTGCAATATTTTGACACTGGAATTATGCAGCCGCTTCTGGTTGGAGATTTGTTCGTAGAGGATTTGTCTTGTCTTTGCATGTTGTTTGCTGTCGATGTTGTTGCTGTTGCTGGTGCAGCTCATGGGAAAGCTTTTGGGCCTGCTTCCCCAGGCTGGAAGCTCGAGCCCAGATCCCTGGGCACAGTGGCATGGCATCGAGATCGAGGACAGATGGGCGGTGCTTCGGCACTAGTCACTAGTCTAATTCAGATGGTGGCGAAGTTTGTTCCACTTCATGTTTCGAAAAAGTTCAGCGCCAGAATCGTGAGTCTCAGCAGATGCTTTTGCAGAGTTGGCATTGGCTCATGCATCTTGAAGGGCAGGTTGTGACGGCCTCTGCACCTGTACATACTACTGCGGCAGAGGACAAGCGAAAACATACGAACATTTGATTTTTCAATGAGATAAAAGCCCTTGTAGGAAAGGTTTTGCTAAGATAATCGTGTTCAACGTGGTGAGGCGCTTTTACCTCAGCCGCTTGACTAACCAACTTGGTAAGTTACTGCATGATGTAGCTTAGATAAGCAGCTGCTGAATGACGGTATTGTATCATTCATGCCCTTGTTGCCATGTCAAATTAACAACCTAACGAGATAGCTCGCCAGCAAGCCCGGCAAACCAGCTAGTACGTAAGCTTGAACATGCCGATGAAACTTTAAACAGGATTCCCTTGTTAGGCAGTGCGGTATACAAAGGCTTACTGTAACCGCTTGGCCAGCTGGTAGCCAGGAACCGCAGGCAGACGAGGTGACTTGGGGTGCGGGTTCTTTTCTTCTTAGGGTGCAGGCCCTGGGCTTTCAACCGGCATTCCCACCAGCCACTGGATTCTTTTCGGCAGCAGATCTTTTGGGACTTGGGCAGCTTTGATGTCTTTGTTGTTCTGGTTGGACAATGGGCTTGCATGCGGTGGGACATGTTGTTATGCACCGCGGCCTTGGAGCATGGTGGCATAGCCGCATCAGCCAGTGGCAGGTGGAGGAACTCCTCGGCCGCCATCACTTGCAGAAGCTCTCCGACATAGGCCGGGTGGCGGACAACATGTGTGTGCCGGCACCGTAGCTACGAATTGAACTAAGAAGCAGCGACCCCGGCTTAGTGACACACTACTGGTACGTAATTTCGTAATGTTACTCACGATGCATGGGCTTGCGCCCATGCCTTGAGCACCCTTGAGCACTGGATCATTCGCAGGCCGCGGGGCCTTTGGAGAAGTCATTTTGGCGAGGGCCCCGGCCAAGTGTCACAGCCGAATGTTGGTGATTCTGGGTGGCCATAGGTGCCACAGGCATGCCTTGCGGCGCACGTCGAAACCGGACCTTTTGGATTCGAATGAATGGAGGAAGCCTTTTGTCATAACTTGCGCACTCAACCCAGTGCCTGCCCACAAAGTTGCAATAAATGCAGTAAAGTGAGTGCACCTGATGGAACTATTGAATTAATGCTGCGTGAGCACTGCACAGACGGTGGGCACCCGAAGGCCCAGAGAAATGCAGTACAGTAAGGAAATGTTTGCTCTGAGAAGTTGTTGAGCCAAGTTTGCTGACTCCTTGCTGTGCCAAGGTACAAGCTGGAGGCTTCACCTCAGCGTTCGAAGCTCAGCGCTGTCATCGCTTCCTTCACTTCAGTGACAACAAGACATTGCAGACAGCATGCCAAACAAATGCAAATACAGCACATGCCAACTAACGCATATGCAACATTTTCTGATTTGACTGTTTCTATGTCATTGGTGCTTTATCAATTTTATCTGAAGTAAAGTTGTCTTTTTTTAAGCGGGGCGGCTGTGGCCATGTTTGCCAAGCAAGGTGCAAGCTGATGCAACGGTGCCATTCACTTCAGGACATGGTGCAGAAACACATTATTTGCACATAAATTGCGAGGACTTTCATTAGCCTCTTCTTTTGTCATTCTCCTCATTCTCATCATCCTTGTCATCCTCAGCATCAGTGTCGTGTTGTCCGAAGCTTCCTGATGCAGTGCTCAGGTTTAGGTGATCCTGGGTGTTGCTGCTGTTGCACAACTTTGCCCACTTCAGGAGGAGGCTGTCAAGGAAGCTCAAATTTTGAGCTCCTTGCAGCACCCGCCAGAAGCACAGATAAATCTTGAAGGACAAATGTGACGATGCCACCTTCGCTGAGGCATGTCGTCCAGTATCGCGACTTCGTGGCGGAGGGCGCATGGTGCACCATGAGCTCCTGTAATTTACATAAACATGCACATGCACATTTGCCATATGTATATTAAATGTATGTATGGATTCATGGTGGTGGTGACAAGACAGTTGCCTTGCTGTGGCACAATAGTGGACATGCAGACTGTGTTTGAGAATCAAGGGCTTAATGGCTAAACCGCAGCTGTGGCACTGATGGCGGGTCACATGCATTTCATGCAGTGGTTCGCCGCAGGTATGCCCTCCTGATGGACTACTGCCAAGGCTTGACAGCGGTATCATCATTGCCGCCGCACTACCGCACTAAGTTGGGCATCCTTTCCGCTGTCAGTAGCATCAGAACCATCACAGTCATGAGGGCCTGCGGTCAGCATCACGGTCATCGTTGTCCTTGGCATCATCAGCATCATCAGTATTATTATATCTATTATTCGGCATTAGCTTGCTATTCACATTTGAGCTACTAAGTGCCCCCAGACAGCGCATGGAGATTTCAGTGTCCAGCACCGGTCCATGGCTCGCAGGCGGCGACTTGCAGGGCCGCATTGACCAAGCTGCCTTTGACGAGGGGCAGGTACGGAAATGCAGCGGGCAGACAAACTGATGCAAGTACAGCAGGTAAACCGGTAGATCCTCAGATGGGCGGAATGGACCGATGCATCATGACCGTTTCAACAATCTTCTTTCTCATTGTTTTCACCCTGAGCCGCCCGGATCCCCCTTTGCTCGCGGCTTAGATCATGCAGTGGATGCTTGAGGGCATGTCGGCTGTTCAGCACATCCACAGCAGGCCTTGCCTTCTCAACTGACAGCAGTTTGGTGATGTGATGTTCGATGTAGTTCATGGGGACTTCACACGGACTGACATGTCAGGAAGTACGGAGCGCATATGATGTAACATGTGCATACATATATATTATTACCGTCTGTGTGTGTGTGTGCGCGTGCCTGCGTGTGAACAGAACAGGTCTTGGGCACAAATGAGAGGTCACGTCTTATCATCCGACTTGAGAAGATGTGCCCCAGTGCCCAATGAACAAGAGGGCCACCATTATACCAGGCTCATTCTTCACCGTGACCTGAAGCCAAAGAACTTCTTCGTCACGGGTGGCGGTCCTGAAGCCCAGCCTTCATCACCGTTTGCCGTGTCAATTGCAGTGAAGATTGCCGTTGTGTTCCCTTCAGATGTGCCAAGACATGGCCGCTTCAAAATGACTGCAGGCTCCCTCCAGCTGGGCGACTTTGGCCTGGCCAAGAAGATGGACAATGATCTGTCTTTGGCCGGGGGCTTGGCAAACCTGTCGGCTTAGCTTTGGCAAGTTCCAAAGTTGTCACAATTCCACAATTTGGTGATAGGAAACGTTTTCAATCGTCCACGGGTGCCTCAGCCCCCACCTTTCAGGCCGAGACCATTGTTGGGACCCCCAACTATTGGAGCCCGGAGGCGCTCTAGCTGTGCTGGGGCTGGTGCCCTTCCGGCTCACCTGGATCACCGGGCTACGGATCTTTGAAGTATTGCTGTTGTTGGCACAGCGGTGCCGTGCAGGTGTGCAGGGGAGAGCCATACGTTTGGAATCTCAATGTATGCTGGATCGACGTGTTCGATTGTTTCGCATTCGTTCAGGGCGTTTGTGTTCTGTTGCTTTGGTTGTGATAGGCAGCATGGCCTGTCACTTTAGAATTTGCTAGCTCATTTTGTCACTTGTTTATACGCATTGTTATCATTGTTCATGCAGCTTGTCTCCTGCATTGGCACGAGACAGAGTCAGGCACCGTACCATCAGAGACCATCCCCTGGCACCTCTATTTTGGAAGTTCAATCTTGCCAAATGCCAAGGCATGGGAAGCTGACACCTGGGCCATGGGCTGCGTTCTCTATGAGCTTTGCAGCCAGCAGGCCCGTCTCGAGCATCGCGAGGTGGTTGAACCATGGCGGAGGATCGCAGCACGCAAGTCCTTTGTGCGCCCACGTGCTTGAGAAGTGATGTTTAGGGTTTGGGCGCCCACGGTATGATTGCGGGATCTTGCAAGGCGGCCTACGATGGGCCTGACCTGCACGCCATCACCAAAGCTGTGATGAGCGGCACGCTGCAGGAAACTCAGTACTGGACAGGTGAAGTGAAATGAACCCGATGCAGACATTATAGAATAATAAACCTACAGCATTGGACACCTGTGATAAATCTGGACAAATGGACGCCTGCCAATGATAAGTTTATGATCAAGTTTGTGATAAGTTTATGATCCTGAACGCATTGCCGCTGCAGCCCCTTGAAACCCCTATGCCTCGGAGGCCGGTGCTTCCGCACAGTTTCTCTCCTTTCGCTCGCAGGCTTGGAGGATCTTGGCAGCTAGCTCTCATGCGTCTATTTGCATTGGGGATTGGCAAGGCATCACGACTTCATCATGTTGATCACCATCACCATCAAAATCGTTAAATTGCAGCCCTTTTTCATTATTATCATCGCCATCATCAGAACCAGAATCATCACCACCGCCACCGCCACCGCCACCGCCACCACCACCACCATCAGCATCAGCGTCATCGTCATCGTCATCGTCATCGTCATCGTCATTTTCATCCTCATCCTCATCCTCATCCCCATCGTCATCGTCATCGTCGTCATGGTCATCGTCGTTATTATCGTCCTCATCATCGCTGTCGCCGTCATCGCCATCATTGGCAGCAGCATCAACAGCATTACAACCATCATCACCAGCAACAGCATCAATGACCTCATCAACAAACTAAACCGCCATTGCACAGTGTGACATTCAATCACCATCATTACCAACCAGATACCAACCAGTTGCTCTAGGCTTCACTCCTGGATGATGGAGCTGCACGTCGAGAAACGTGCCAGTGCGGGAGAGGCCAGCACAAGCGTACTGCTGCAGGTGACTTCACGTTGACAACTATTGCTGTTGCCCCTTTTCAGCTTGCAGTATGCGGTCTGCAGCATTACTTTTACTTTTACTCAATGTTCCATGTACATGCGACAACAGCGATTGACCATTTCTATCTGCATGGCAAATGGACGAAATGCTTGTTGTTGGACCGGGAGTGCATGGACGGGCAACACACACAGCCTGCAATACTTCGTCTTCCGCTAGGTGTGTGACATGCTGGAGGCCCATTTGCAAGTCCGGGTTTGAAGTACCCGCGCGAAGCCCCAAGTCCCAAGTGAGGGGAAAGAGGCACTCAAACTTGGAACTGCAGATTAGTGTCAAACTCTGGAGAAAAACAGTCGTCAACTGTGGGACTTCAATTATGAACTATCAACTGTCAGCTTCAACTATGAATTATCAACTGTCAGCTCCAACTATCAACTATCAGCTGCAACTATGATCTATCAACTATCAGCTTCAGCTATGAAGTATCAACTATCAGCTTCAACTATGAACTATCAACTGTCAACTTAAACTATGAACTATCAACTGTCAGCTTCAGCTATGAACTACAGCTTCAACTATGAACTATCAACTGTCAGCTTCAACTATGAACTATCAACAGTTAGCTTCAACTATGAACTATCAACTATCAGCTTCAACTATGATCTATCAACTGTCAGCTGCAGCTATGAACTATCAACTATCAGCTTCAACTATGAACTATCAACTGTCAGCTTCAACTATGAATTATCAACTGTCAGCTCCAACTATCAACTATCAGCTGCAACTATGATCTATCAACTATCAGCTTCAGCTATGAACTATCAACTGTCAGCTTCAACTATGAAGTATCAACTACCAGCTTCAACTATGAACTATGCACTGGCAGCTTCAGCTTTGAACTATCAACTGTCAGCTTCAACTATGAACTATCAACTGTCAGCTTCAGCTATGAACTATCAACAGTTAGCTTCAGCTATGAACTATCAACTATCAGCTTCAACTATGAACTATCAACTCTCAGATATGAACTATCAACTGTCAGCTTCAACTATGAACTATCAACTGTCAGCTGGAACTATGAACTATCAACTGCCAGCTTCAACTATGAACTATCAACTGTCAGCTTTAACTATGATCTATCAACTGTCAGCGTCAACTATGAACTATTAACTGTCAGCTTCAGCTATCAACTATCAACTGTCAGCTTCAACTATGAACTATCAACTGTCAGTTTCAACTATGAACTATCAACTATCAGCTTCAACTATGAACTATTATCAACTGTCAGCTTCAACTATGAACTATTATCAACTGTCAGCTTCAGCTATGAACTATCAACAGTTAGCTTCAACTATGAACTATCAACTGTCAGCTTCAGCTATGAACTATCAACAGTTAGCTTCAGCTATGAACTATCAACTATCAGCTTCAACTATGAACTATCAACTCTCAGATATGAACTATCAACTGTCAGCTTCAACTATGAACTATCAACTGTCAGCTGGAACTATGAACTATCAACTGCCAGCTTCAACTATGAACTATCAACTGTCAGCTTTAACTATGATCTATCAACTGTCAGCGTCAACTATGAACTATTAACTGTCAGCTTCAGCTATCAACTATCAACTGTCAGCTTCAACTATGAACTATCAACTGTCAGCTTCAACTATGAACTATCAACTGTCAACTTCAACTAGGAACTATTAACTGTCTGCTTCTTGCTTTGAACTATCAACTATCAGCTTCAACTATGAACTATCAACTATCAGATATGAACTATCAACTGTCAGCTTCAACTATGAACTATCAACTGTCAGCTTCAACTATGAACTATCAACTGCCAGCTTCAACTATGAACTATCAACTGTCAGCTTCAACTATGAAGTATCAACTATCAGCTTCAACTATGAACTATCAACTGTCAACTTAAACTATGAACTATCAACTGTCAGCTTCAGCTATGAACTACAGCTTCAACTATGAACTATCAACTGTCAACTTAAACTATGAACTATCAACTGTCAGCTTCAGCTATGAACTACAGCTTCAACTATGAACTATCAACTGTCAGCTTCAACTATGAACTATCAACTATCAGATATGAACTATCAACTATCAGCTTCAACTATGAACTATCAACTGTCAGCTTCAACTATGAACTATCAACTATCAGATATGAACTATCAACTGTCAGCTTCAACTATGAACTATCAACTGTCAGCTTCAGCTATGAACTAGTATCAACTGTCAGCTTCAACTATGAACTATTATCAACTGTCAGCTTCAGCTATGAACTACAGCTTCAACTATGAACTATCAACTGTCAGCTTCAACTATGATCTATCAACTGTCAGCTTCAGCTATGAACTATCAACTGTCAGCTTCAACTATGAACTATCAACTGCCAGCTTCAACTATGAACTATTAACTGTCAGCTTCCTCCAGGAACTATCAGCTATGGACGGATCATAAACCAACTGTATAAATGTCCATTGCCATTTCCCGAAGAAATCCTTCTTCTGTTCCAAAACTCGGCTTCAGGTGAAGAACACCTTCATTGAGGTCACCGACGGCGGCAGCCGGGACTTTCAAGGCATGTCTGATCGTTTTCCCAGCCCAGATCTGGGAATTGATGTGCCTAATCTGACATGTTCAAACTAGTTGATACGTGTTGATACTAGTTGGTGGTTTTTCTTACGCTCAATTATAGATGTGTTTGTGTGATCGCCACTAGCTGGTCTACACGACCAGCGTCTTAACATCCATCGAACGATTAAACTGTCCGCTGGTGACAGTTTAACAGGGCCATGCTCAACACAAGGCAATGTGATGACCATTATAATTCAGCATATATATATAATATGTATATTTGTTACATAGCAAAATAAATACATAAATAAACAAATAATGAAACAAGTAAATAAACAAATAAATAGATAAACATTATATAATACATACATGTGGTGTACATATGGTAATTCTCTCCCAAGCATGAACTGGGCTGAGGGCACATATCCAAAAACGAGCCACGAGCCACTACATGAATGGGATCAAAAATCATGGTCTACGGTCTGGCAAATTTGTCAAGTTTATTTGATAACTTTAGTCACGATCTATAATCTACAAGACATTTGAACAAGTGATGATTAGCATTGATTAGTTTATCTTTGATATGATCTCTTTGAGTTCTTGCTTGGGCACCTAACCACCGTTGGCCGTTGCCGGTCCTGACCCGCAGGTCTCCGTCGTTCGCGCTCCGTGCCCCATTTTTAGGACAGAGTCCCGACTGTGGTCGTGGCAAGATTTGCACTTTGGTTTTGCGATTGTGCGATTTTACTTTCTATCCTTTTACAGGGATGATGATATAGAACTTGAAGGCATATGAAGCTGGGAAAACAAGAGTTCAAGAGGCAACTTGCCACAACCGAAAGGTGAGCAGGTGGTACAGAAGCCACAGAGCTGTTGAGAACAGGGTTTCACCGTTTCACCCATTTTCACCCAAACGAGACAAACACAGAAAATGCAGTGGCAAAAACTCATTGAAGCGGTGATTGTTTTGATGGACGGCTTTTTGACGCAAGCGCCGTCATCATTGTGATTTTTGCCCATCTTTGATGACAAAGGGAAAATAGATGGAAAATCGGAGGTAAATCAGGAAAATTTGTAGAAAATATATGGAGAATGGTTTTGTTGGTGTTCAACCTGACAATCAGCAGGAAAAGACACCGTAAAGCAAGAATTTAGTCAGAAGTTGAACTAGACTAGTTGCATTATGTGTGGAAAGGAAATCC